ATTAATATTAAGAAGGCCGCACAGTAAGTTGTTCAAACAATTACAAAATAGGCAAGTGAAACTGATTGTTTCCTACTGTTGCCTTGTTTGACCTACGTTCATCACACAGGACCTGCGCTGGTGCACACCATCACGGGTAAGTTGAAAGTGGCGCACCCAATGATCTGAAATTAACGAACTCTCCTTACATGGCTGATTATGTATGTTGCATACACAAGTGCTTTCTTTCATGCATTTGTTTACGTAGAATGTGATTGTTCTAAGGTACAATCAAAAGTAGCGGGGGAAAGCTGGTTTACACTTAACTTGTACAACGACTGTTGTATTTGGCGCGACAGCTTTCATCAGTCTAGCAATATCTTCTTCAAAACCCCTTTTGTTCCTCACTCTCTGCGAATTTTAAGCACAGAATATTGAGTGAAGATGTTGCATTATGGAAGCAGTTGGAATGTCTGTGTTGAAATGCCTAATTGTGTGTTTCAGTGGTGCTGGAGTCAATGTTGGTGGTGACATTGCTGGCGATGTAGGAACCTAATGGACAAGTGAAGTGCATCGTTTGCAAGTACATGGAAACACATTCCAACTTTTCCCCTAACACACTTTTTAGCTTTCTTCCACCAGTAAATTTCCATCCCTTGTTTGGTTTAGCATTTTCTTATGCTCAATCTCTGTGCTGCTGAATAAATGAGACTATATTTACCTGGCATTCATACTTTCTCGAATTATTTTCATTTTAACAATTCCACATTGTAAATTAACTCATCCTGTATAAGAAAAAATTAATTCTACTTGGGTATTGAGAAGATAAATGCACGAGCGACTTCTGCCATCTTCGGGTGTGGTGATTTTTCTCCAGTTTGAAAGAGATTGAATTGTGCACCTGTTAGTACAAAATCAAGGGTAACAAGAGCTTAAGGACTGGTATACAGCGAAATGGGAGGATGGACCGCTGGCCGGTGGTTGGTAGTAGAAATTGTGGTTTCAGAAATGGATCGACGAATGAATGCATGGGAATGTGAAGATGTTCCGGAGGTGTTTATATGGTTGATCTGGCTGGTATGCCTCACGAAATGTCGCTGAAGTCGTAGTGTGGTAAATTGGCCTCTGCTTTACATATTATTTAGAATGCGTTGCACTATGCATGGTCAGATATATGGGTGGATAGATGGGTAAAAGTAAGGGAATGTGGTACTATAACAAGTGACTGACACGCAAGGTGCAAAGCTGGTGGGCTCGTTGCCATGAGGTGTTTGCTTTACAATTAATAGGATGGGCCGTGACTTGCCAACCTGTGTGCTTTGCTGTGATGATGTATTTGTAGATTGTACAAAGCCTTAAGGGTGTTTACTACATCACAGGCTTAACCTTGGTGATTGTGGACTTCCAAATCACCAGATTCGCCCTTTGGAATTATACGCCAAATGCTATGAGCCCGACTGAATTTCAGACAGCTAAATCAACAAAGTTTGCGGTAGTGCTTTTGCGAACTTTTGTTCATTTGGTTAGAGTTTGGGCTCACTTGTGTGTGATGGATGCTATTCAGAACTCAAGAGCAAATTCTACTAGCCCCAGATATCAGCTCTTCTCACAAATCCGTCCATTGTGTCCATTGCGAGGATTTTTAAGGGTAGTTACCTTGATTTGAAAGTGTAGCTAAAGAAACTAAGGGCATTTAATTACTTGCCATCAACATTGTGTTATCACCCCACGTACATCCTGCATTCCATTAGTCCATTGACAATTACCATGTGTGCCAACTATCTCACCTACTTTTGCTCTATATTGCACTTATTTTTACTAGATTACCTAAGTACACTTCTATTTGTATTTTAGCACAGGTATTCCGAAGGACCACGAAAGTGGATGCATCGAAGTGTCCATCATTTTGCATATTTCTCTCGTCGACATTTGTTCAGAAATTGCGAGATTGTACGCAAAATAAAGGAGGAAATAACTAAAAAATGGGAATTAGCTTAAGTTTATATTCACCCAAAACGCGTGGTTAACAGTGTAAGGATTAAGCGATTACTGTTGGAGAAAATAAGGTGTCACTGACGTAATGGAGCAGAAGGACTCAGGAGGGTGGAATATCCCTTGCATCTGGCCTGTGTCTGTGGAAGAAGCTCTTAGCCAGTTGGCAATGCCCCTTCTCCAATTCTTGGGGTTTTAATTCCTGATTATTCAACTCTAAACAATTGATGAAGGAACTGTCTACTAACTCTTACTCCAGGATATAGGGTCCGCTAATTTGCCGTCGAGAAGTTAATCACTTGCACCGTTCCGCAAATGGGCTTTTTAGCACTAAAATAAACTGGCACAAAGTCGGTGGCCACAGATAATCATGTTAAAAGCATTTAACGAGTTTGTGTTTTCTGGAACATTTAAGCTTTTTTAGCTAATAAAGCGGGTAGGATTGCGATTTAGGAAGTGGGATGTGGCAGATTACCTGCGTCTGTTTGAGATCATTGGATGCCTTATTCGAATGTTGGTTTGGATGGCATGCTGACATATGCCATAGATGTGGTCATATTTGTGGTATTAGCAGAGCAAGAAAGTTCGTGTGGCTTTTGACTTTGGAAATCAAACAGTCATCCCAGGAAGTAATCATCAAAACCGTGTGGGTTGTAGTGTGCAACTCTTTGCCAACGGGACTCTGGTGTGCCTCCAATTCGGCTGTCATGCAATCGTTTGCTTTAAAGAGCAAAAGAGTGGTACAAGCTGCTAAACGGTGAGGTGGTGCGTGCCACTGGCGTGTGAGGGCGTGGAAGGTAAGGAGTCTGGGGTAAGTAATAGTGGATTGGTTCGCCTATCAAGCATTGGAAGGGATTGCAATGGTCATTTCTCGTCAGGATGCAGCCGAAAGTACACGAGCTGTTTTTATCAAGTGTGCCAACAATGGTAATGTGCAGAATGGCAGTCATAGTTTGTCATCTGTTGGTGGGTACGTAAGCATCAGGACGAAACGCATTTGTGTGACAAGTTTCACGACTTTTTTCCTCACTTATGTGGAGTACAAGCTGAAGTCGTTCATGTCACGCATTAGATAAGATTTATCACAAAATGTCAGCTTGAGTGATTCATTACCAGAATTCAGCTGTGAACCACTTTTAAGTGGTGAATTCTACTGTCATGTGTGTGTGTGGTGTGGTTGTGGAGCACACTGTCTAAAGCTATCTTACCTTCCTCCTAAGATGACTAATTCGGAAGCAACAGCAAAGCAACAACCGACGCTCATGACATCACTGAAAATTCCACTATTTGTACCTCAATATTTCCTTTTACATGTTGTAGGGAGACATCTTGGAAAGTGAAAAGTTTTGAAAACTTTCCATTGTATGCTACTTTGCGGTAGATTCAAACCTTAAATTGAATGTTCTTAACTGACTATCCTTGATACAGAGACCGCTTGCGAAGTAGAAACGCAGTCTGAGAAATTGCAACTATTATGATAATAACTTTTAAGGAAGGCTAGATGTCCAATTAGGCGAAAAATCAAAAGTCTGAAATGACTTTGCTCTAAACAACCTTTAGAAAGAATATTTTGGTTGGCAAAGCTACGCTGCAATACTGACTGACCACGAGTGCGGTTGAACCTGAAGGAGGTTTCCTCGCAGGCGTTGTAGGGATCCAGGCTACTAAAGTAGAGCCAAAAGAAGAGCGAGCATATGAGTCCGTGGTGGCCGTAGAGGTCCAGACAAACTCAATCGTACCAGTGCAGAGGTGGTGTGGAAGGTTCCACCTAAGTCGCCCAAATACAG